CTCTTCCACAATGACACCTGTACGGTAGGGGGAGGGGGTGTGACGGAGATGCTCCACTTAGGGCTGAGCTCGCCATCGTCTCTCACTGCACTGTGACCAGTTGTAGGTCTCTGTATTAACTGCCATCGAATGCAAAAGGAAGCAGCTCTGACGCAGTCTGGGAGATGCACGAATCTATGGGCTTAACAGTAAGTCACTAGGAATCGGCTTAAGTCCATTTAGCAGAGTAAGAGTGGTAGGTTCTCCCCTAGGGCCTACAACCTATCTTGCCGAAAGTCCTAGGCACCAATAACAGTGCAGGTGTGTGGCGTGGGTTCCATCTTGAGGAGTGGGCTTCAAATCCAATTGGAAGCTGGTTGGTTCCTTCTGTGACATTGCCGCCACTGTTGTACCAGTGGTCATTACTGTAGCGTGCAGCGTTCACCACTGAATAAGACTGATACCTGCTTTTCTCCTCTGGTAGCACGCATAGCACCTCCCAGCACTGTAAAAGCTGCCTGAGAGAGATGAAGCTTCCAGGTCAAGACCAGCTTGATCTCTCCAGGTTTTATGACTCAAGCATGTGGTACCTTTAGCAATAGGATCTTGCTATAAACTTTTGGAGGGTAACCAAGAGAAATGGCAATGTGCTCGAATTTGAGGAAGCCTATATATTTCAGGAAGCTTCTGTGGTAGTAGTTTTCATATGACTTTCTCAAAAGATTGTTAGTGTTAGTTATTCCTCCTTGAAGTCCTCTTCTACCTCCATCCTATACATTCCCCATTTAACCCTTCCTGCTCCAACTTTCCCTGTTCTATCACTGGGTTCTCTCTTCCCTCCCGGAAAGCCTCCCCGCTCCCCATGGCCCTTACTAATTTCCTGACTTCTGTGGATATTCCTAATGAAACAAACCTATCTGAAGATTCAAAGCTAACATTCACACATGAGAGAAAACATGCAACATTTGAGTCTGGGTTACCTTGCTCAGAATAATTGTTTTCATCTCCAGCCATTTACCTTCACACTTAATAATTTTATTTTTCCTAGCAGCTGAATACTATTCCATTATGTAAATGTATGACATTTTTATTCCTCTACTGACAGATATATAGGCCGTTTCCATTTCTTGCCTGTTGTGATTGTAGCAGTGATTGTGGGAGCCCGTTCTCGGGTTCCTTGTGGCTTTACCCAGCAGGTCCGCATAAAGAGGATGATTAGAACCACAGGCCTGAGTGCAGGTGTCTGAGATGGTCTGCACTTGGCTGTGCTGGGGGGAGGTCTTTTGCTCCACCCCTTGGCGTCTCTATAAAAACCCTGGGGCAGAGACAGTCAGGGCCCGTTGGAAAAGGTTCCAGGCCCTCTTGAGGCTATCCTTTATTTCCTATCTGTTTATCTCTGCAATATAAATCCTTCTGTCCAATATTTCCTGCTGCTCGCACTCAAGAAAACTCTGGGGAACTGTGGGGTTGGTGGGTGAACGCCCCACAAGCGATGAATGTGAAAGAGAATGCTAGCTGCACCTCTGAACTCAACGGTGGTTGTGACAATATGCACAGACCTGTGACAGCTCAAGACAGACAAACCCCAGCACAGAGGGTGGTGGTGGTGGTGAAACCCCATCCCTAGCTGAGGCGCTATTGGGAACTGATAGCTGCTGAAAGAGAGGAAGCTAATTTTCTTTCTTTCTTTCTTTCTTTCTTTCTTTCTTTCTTTCTTTCTTTCTTTCTTTCTTTCTTTCTTTCCTTCCTTCCTTCCTTCCTTCCTTCCTTCCTTCCTTCCTTCCTTCTTTCTTTCTTTCTTTCTTTCTTTCTTTCTTTTTTGAGGACACAAAGTTGGGTGGGTATGGAATGGGATCATGGATCTGGAAGGAGTTCAGGGAGGGGAGTGAATATGTTCAAAATACAATGTATGAAACTCTCAAGGAAAATTAACAAAAATACTTTTTAAAAGGCTGGCACATGGGACTGGAGAGATGATTCAGTGCTCTTCTAACTTATGATTGGCCTATTCTATTCCTTCACGAATTCCTTCTCTGCTCTTCTTTCTCTAACATTATGGAGGCAGCAGAGACAACTTCCTTGTGTTCTGGTAAGCCTTCGAGCCTAACTCTACCCAGCAGGAGGCACACATTTACCTATTACTATCCTGTAATTTGCATACCAAAGGAAACTTCCCTAACAAAGGCAATACGATAAACTATGGTCATCAAAGCTGTGGAAAAACCAAGGAGTCGCTGGAGTGGATTCTGCCAGCTCTGGTTTTATTTGTGATTGGGCAACCAAACCATATTCAGAACCCCTTCTGAGTAAAGGGCCCCTCCCTTTTCCATTTCTGAAGCAACAGGTGCCCTTTGACTGGTGTGTCAACAAGAGTCATTTCAGGTCAGGCCAGGCCAGCCCAGTGGGAGAGGCAACGGGGCATATTTATAGTTTCCCTAAACTCCGGGAGAGGGGACAGAATCCGACTTCACTGCACAGCGAGGAGAGATAATGAATGTTCACAGTGACTGGTAGAGACCATGGCAGCAATAGTGAGGTGCCAAGAAGAAAAGGAGCCTTGGTCACATGACACCGTATCACAACCGAGCAGGACTGCTCTCTAGTAAGGGGTGTGTTAGCAAAGAGGGGTGTCTGGGTGAAAGGCTCAGGCAGCCTGTGGGCGGTATTTAAACAGTGACTGGGGCCCTGTAAGCACCTCACTGACAAGGAAGAGGATCAGCTTCACTGCTGGAATTCATTAGCTCCAATTCTGGCCACACGGCTCACAAGCAATGTAGTAGACAAACACAAACACAAACAAAAGAGAAGAATTCGTAAGGCATGAAGGAAACACTGGCTGAAGCATTACGTATGGAAGACAGCCCAACACAGAGAGGGGGGAGCTTAATACAAAGCCTTCAAAATAGGAGGCCGTCAATGATCGGAGAAGAGGTTTCCATTTGCTACTAAAGGATGAACTGGAAATGAGCATTCCTGCCACACAAAAGGGAGACGCAGCATAGAAACAGTAGTTTCAGTGAGAAAAAAAAATGGCTACATCCTAACTGTCCAACAGAGTATCGATTAAGTAAACTATCAGTCCCACAAAAAGCGAGAGTGACTAGTACAGGAGACCTATGGGCAGTGACTAATGGGGATGGGAAGTCTGTGAAGCCGAGGCTTAGGAACACGGACCTGCTGGCAGGGGCTTCGGCATTAGCAGAGTAATGGAGGAATGGGGGGGGGGGGGACAGACCATCACTCTGTACTGTCACGGAAGGTCTTCCATTCACTCTGACAACTAGTGCAGCCCAGTGGCCCGCCACATGCCACCCGTGGTCACTAGCCCAAGCTCTCTCACTTCATGCGGAGCATTACAGAGTCCTCAGCGCCCCCCCCCCCCCAGGTGAGCACCAGCATCACACTCCTTAACAGATGACGGAAAGGTCCTAGGGGGTCACGTGACGTGCCAATGACGGTGTGGAGAGTCAACTCCCCGGCCTGCTTGCCAACTAAAACTCAGCAGCCTTTTGCTTTTCTATGTTGTTTCCCAGGACAACAGAGCTGCACGACAGATCCAGGCCAAAAGGAGAAAGTCAGGATAATCAACTATAAATAAAGGAAGACGGCACTCTGCTGCGGTCAGCCGTTCTTCCCTCTAGATGTCCAAGTGCATTACACTATGATGCTATCACTTCTAGAGCGGAAGATGAGCTGAGGAGGGACGCTGTACGTGGGGAGACGCCATCGTCGTGAGGATTCTTAAATGCTAGAAACGCTCATGAAATCAACGTACAAAGTTTTAAATATACCTTCCCCTCTCCAAACAGGGGACTTTGCCTCTATCTATAATTATTTAGCTACTGCTCTAATTACAGAAACAAAGGCACCTGCTGTGGGCCTTTTTTTTTTTAAACACCCAGATTCTACAGTATACTGCCAATCTATAAGAAACAAACAAAAATTCTCAGTATAAAATCTCCACGGAAGTCAAAGCATTCATTCATTCATTCATTCCCTAACACTTATGCCTGCCTACCACGTGTTAGTAACTTGGCCAGAGAGTTTCCGGTTAATGCAGTGCCCAACCTTCATGGAGCTTTTGGCAATTCTAAGATGTGACTTCTTCTGGGCTTAAAGGAGTATTTGCTTATTTTAAGTCAACATTGCCGTGCTGAATAGAAAGCTCTGGCTCCAGGCCCCTGGGCAGATGTCAAAGGTCACACCTGCTGGGAGAGGGAAGTTGGGTTGATGCATTTCAGACTTTCAACATCAGTTCCCTGCACCTGGGCCAAGACCAGCTGTGGAACAATCCAGTGAAGAAACCTTAGAACCTAGCAGGGCTCCCCGAGGCTTCTGGCTCTTGTGGTGTTTCTGCAATGGCTGCTGGGACTTTGTGATTCACTTAGGTTCCTTAGGAGGAGACACACATGGTAAAGACCATAATCGCTTACTTTGGAGCGTTAGCTGCTCTCGATCCTGCTGAGACAACGAGCCTACTATTTAAGCTGCAGGAGATGTACGGATGTCACAGACGTTTCCACCCTCGTCTAGTGTGAACTGTAGTAACCGAGGTAGACTGGGGTAGGGTGATGTAAGCAGCTCCTTCTTGTGCAGAAATGATCGCCCACCATCTTATATACATCTGAACAACATGTTTAGACTTCCAAACATTAGATAAAGACTTGCTTGGAAGAGATATTAAGAAAATCTATTCATAACATATAGATGCAGAAAATCCACACTGCCTTCCTGCCAGTAAGAATCCATGAGATTAAGATGGGCGCACAGGTCTGCAAACACTCCCTGGAGCTTGCGGTATTCCAGCCCTCTGGCAGGCCAACTCCATTTCCTTCAAGCTAAATTCCTTCTCATTTCCTTTAGGTTGCCAAGTTGTCATCTAATTGTGGGCTGAGCAGCCCAGTCTGCTGGAATTTTAAGATCGAAATTAACTGTTGAACCACTGTGACCAGAAAAAGTGGAACCCCCGACCCCAGTGGGTTCCTTGGCCACATGTCCCTGAGATGAGTTATCCATCTCACCTTCGATATAACTTGGACTGTCCAAAACTCACAATCACCAGTGGCACTTGGAAAGTAGTCAGGACGAGAATAACCTGGAGAGGGACAAAAGCATTCTGTCAGTAAGAAATGAAAGACACAGCAACCACATGCTGATCGATGTCAACACTGAACTGCACTTCCAGGACTGATAACAGTCCTGCTTTCTAGAAGCCTGTGACGCAACACATCTAAAAACCAGGAAGGACCCAGGGACAAGGATCGTGAGGTCCCCACCTCATTGCATTGCCTACCCTTGAAGCAGTGAGTCAGGGATGTTCAAATACACATACTACAGGAAGGTTTATCTAATTTGTATCTATATAATCATAAAATGCTCTCTCTCTTCTGCCCCTGGAGGTTAGCACAGGGTGGGTGTCTCCCATGGGCCACCATATCACATATGTCTATGTGTCTGTTCCTCCAGGTTGCTAGTTCTCCATGGAATTCATTTTGTATGTAATTATTTTTCTATGCAAAAACATGCATGAGAAACAACTTGCTTTGCTTATGTGTGTATGTAGAGGGTTTATGTGTCTGTCCATGTTCACGTATGTCTGTAGAGGCAACAGATCAACATGGGTATCCTCTTCCGTTGCTCTCCACATGATTTTGTGAGACAAGTTTTCTCACTGAACCTGGCCCTGCCTGACTAGACAACATGAGCTGGCCATCGAGTTCTGGGGGTCCTCCTGCCTCTGCCTCACTGAGTAGGATTATAGGTGTGTGCTACCAATCCAGCTGTTTGTTTTCAATTTTTATTTAAATTATGTGTCTGTGTACCTATGTGGGGGTATTTGTACACAGACATCCTCAGAGGCATTGACCCTCCTGGAGCTGGGGTCCCAGGTATGGTTGTGAACCTGCTGACATGGGTGTTAGGGACAGGAAACAGGTCCTCTGCAAGAGCACCATGTGCCCCTAACTGCTGGGCCATCTCTCCAAGCCATGTACATTTTCCCCATGGGTGCTGAGACCCAAACTCAGGTCCTCAGGCTTGCACGGCACACACTTTACTCACTGAGAATCTCTTCAGCCACGACAACTTGCTGTCCAAAACCAGAGCTGTACTTCCATGGTTTTTTGGTATTGTTATTGTGTGCCTCACACTAATGTAGTCATTGCTACTTAACACCCCCTCCCACCCCACCCCACCCCGCCCCCACTTTTATCAAGCAAGATAATGGAGCCAGTGATACCAAGCTCTGACTGAAGACCCAAGGTCCATGCATCCACATCCTCCACATAGAGACCAGCAAGCAGTACATTTATTTTTTTAAAGATAGCCCAGGCTTGTCTTGAACTCAAGATCCTCCTGCCTCAGCCTCCCAAGTGCTGGGTCACAGGCAGGCGCACCAACAGTATACCTATATTCTGTGAGGACAGGGACAACAGGTAGAGTTGACATGGGCCCACAGACACCACAGTCCTTCCACACAATTGTGGAAAGGGACAGGAAAAATACAGACTAGCGGGAAAATGCCAAGATGCACTGCGCCTCCTTTTCTGCTTCTACACAGAGACTTCTTGAGCGGTTCCCTGCTTCCTCTTCTTGTTCATCTTGATGCTGAGGGGCCCAAGGACAGAGATGTCTGTTTTCCTGTTATGGACCAGTGAACATCTCCTTAGCCCCGACAACTGCCTTTCCACACCAGAGCGTGCTTCCATAGTTTTCTGGTATTGTTGTCAGGTCCCCTGCACTAATGTAGGCATTCATTAATTAGTTAATTGATACCTACCCCCCACTGCCCTTATCAAGCAGGATAACAGTAGTCTTAAGACTGCTTTCAACTGGTTCCCAGTTCTAAGCAAACTCAAACCAACTATAATTTCCTGAAAGGTTGTCCTGAAACACACATTTTCTGTGACTCAGGTTGAAGCCATGTCCAGAAAGTATTTAGTGAGCACCTGCCCCAAACGACATGATCTTGGTGGACTGAAAGAGGTGAGAACGTCACTTACCCCAGTGCTGTCTCCAACCCAGGACAAGGACACTGAGCCACTGAGGTCATCAAAGACATGCTATTTGGGAAAAGGAAACGAAATGCATTTAGAAATGTCATCCACTCCCTTCAGTCCTTGGTTCCTCACATATTCAGAGCTTTATTACCATTTTACATTTGTTATTCTGAGAATGCTGTTCATGAGCGCTGTATTTACATAATTTCCATCATACTCTCCCATCTCCAACTCTTCCCGTTGCCCTTACCCCCTCTTAACGTCACAGCCACATGCGTGCATATGTGTGTGTGTGTGTGCTCGTGTGTGTGTGTGTGTGTGTGTGCTTGTGTGTGTGTGTATGTGTGTGTGTGCTCGTGTGTGTGTGTGTGTGTGTGTGTGTATGTGTGTGTGCTCGCGTGCGCACACGCGTGTCCTGCTGAATCCATTTAGTGTTGCTCAATAATGAGCACGGAGTTCCCAACCCCATGCCACATCTATAACACAGCCCCCACACCTAAGGCTCAGGGCACATCATGGAAGAGAGAGCGGAACCATGGAAAGAGCCAGAGGCTTAGGAGAGTTGCTACAAGGACAAGGAGTTGCTGCCATGAAATCTTAACAGTATGTCCACCTAAACAAGAGCTCCACAATGACAACACTGGTTGAAATCTCAGAAGTCCCGTCCCTAGAGGAAGAGCTACCGGCAATTGGTGGCTGCTAAAATAGGCAGAATCTGTCTTCCCCACGGATGAGCTAGCTCTCTGATAGGCCAGCCAATCCTTTATTACTCTTCTGAATAATTAAGTTCATAATTACAAGGGGACACAGATTCCCAGAATAAAATTCGGGAGAGACAGACAGGATTTAGCTACTTCATCCCAGTTGCAGATGACTTAGAAACTTAAATTCTCTCATACAAAGTAAGGCAAGCAGATGAGTTATCTTCGCTGCACCAAACAGGGTGATGGGGAAGTCTGATTGCTTTCTCCAACAGAACTAAACATAAAGAGATAGCAAAGTATTCCTGGGGTGCTTTAAAACAAGAGATCAGAGCCTCCCCTGACACACATAATTGTAACCCAGTAGGCATAACTGAAGCTCTGCTAAGCAGTCTTCACAAAAGAGCTGAACAGTTCATGGTCAGACTCCTCCTGCTTCCAGGCGGAACTGCTAAGATGATGGAGGCAGAAGCAAGGAGCAAATGGGTCTGTTTTGTCCGTTTGGTCAACAATAACAGATTAATAATAAACCTTACTAGAGCTGCGGGGGGAGCTGGGAGACAAAACAGGGAAAGACGGTGTATTACATTTAAACTACAGAAACACGTAAAAAGAGCAGCAGCCATCTCCTCTCTGGGGTACTTTTCACCCAAATAGTTCCATCTTCTAGTTATAAAATGATATGCGTTCATCACAGAAAATGTAAACAATATGAGGAAGTACAATAAAGGATATAAAGTCAATTCGTAATTCACCACGCAGAGAGATTCTAGGTTAATGTTTAATCTTCCAGGCTTTATCACTTATTAAACTAATAAAATAATTCAACAGAGGCACTGGTATCATTTGAAAAGACTTCTAAGCGTGCAGAAATGACATGATATATATATGTATGTGTATATAGATACAACAAAAATGAAGGTCCTTCTTTTCCCCTGACACTACCCTCAGCCCCACTCTGAAGCAGCTCAGTATGAATTTCTACAAAGGTTGACAACTGTGCCTTTTCCTTAGGAAGATACATCCACCTCCACCTCCGCACCCTCAACATGTCCAGCCTTCCCAATGTGAGCCCATTTCCAGCAGAGGGGGAACTTTATGTTTCTTGGTGTTCTCTGTGCACACTCAATAAGCATTTGTTGAAAATGATTATAACATATCCTTCCCAAACCACAACCTCCAGCTCAAAATAGAGCATGCCTATAAACGGTCTGATGCCAGCTACTTGGTCCCTCAAGCCGCCGGTCCCAACAGAGGAGCAGGGGGAGAAGGGACTCTGAAGGCAAACCGCTTCGCTTATCTCCTAATTTTCTCTGTGGTCCTGACTGGGCTTCTGAGTCCGTCTGTGCTATTTCCCCTCTGGATAGAAAGTGCCTCTGAGGTCAAAGGGCCCCGCTGAACACGCTCCATAAATAGTACTGTGCCGCACACAGGGCCCGCTCAGTAAACGCTGGTTAACTCTCAGATGCTTGGGCTGAGCTAGATGCTGCCGGGGGACAGAAAGCCTATTCATACACAACTTGCTGAGGATCTGGGGAAAAGCAGGGCTGCTAGAGACTGCTGGAACAAGAACCTCACAGAATGACACGCCAGTGTGCCTTAAACGTCTCACACAGAGCAAGACCATATGCTCTCTTGGGAGGCAAGAGAGTGCCTGAAACTGCAGCAACAAGTGCTTTGAAGAGAAGCAGGGCTAGCCAGGGCTACCACTTGTACTAGTCATCACTTAAATGTGAGGGTGTTTTTTTTTTTTTGTTTTTTCTTTTTTCCACAAGGGAGGTTCTGGTTGCAACAGCTGATTAGAATAAATGAAAACTCCCAGTAACCACTGCACTAGAGTTCTTGGTCGTCTTCATTAGGCCGTAGTATTGTTAGTTTGAAACAGTAAGGACCAGCACTTTGCACTTTTTATACAATACTCTGCACACATGACTCAGTCCGTGAACACACACTGCCCACATCTTCTTACTGCTCAATCTAGGAACAAGGGTTGCTGGATGCCATTGGCAACCTCAGCCTCATCTAAACAACTAAACAGTAATTGACCTAGCTTATTTTAAGAGCTCCCTTGAAAATATAGGGCAGACTTATTAACTGTAATTGTGGTTTTCTGTTACCCTTGACCTTCTGTCCCACCCCTTCCCATGAACTATTTAACATTTGCTTTTGAAAATGTACGAGCTCATCGGACGCTCGTCTACCTACAAAAAGTGTGACTCATCTGTTGTACTGCATACTCCAACAAACTTATCACATTCTGAAATGAAAGGAGAAAAATGCAGTCAGATCCGACAGCATGGCCAGAGCTCAAACTGGGGTGGGGGTGGGGGTGGGGGGTGTGCCACAGGATGCAGATCCAGGAGATTGCAGGCTGTGGTGGCTCCTTGTCAACTTAACACAAATTAGAAACACCTGGGGAGAGCAGACCGTAATGGAGGAATTGCTAGACGGGATTGTCGGGTGGGCAGGACGGTGGGGGCATCTTCTTGATTGGTAATTGACAGACGGAGGAGGACTTGGCTCGCTGTGGGCTACACTACCCCGTGGAGGCGTCCCCCGGTTGTATTAGAAAGGTCACCGAATGTGGTCTGTTTCAGTTCCTGTCCTCGAGTTCCTGCCCAGTTCTCTCCACCATGGGCTGCAAGATGAGATAAACCCTCTCCTCCCCGGGCTGCTGCTTTGGGTTGTGGTGTCTGTCACAGCGACAGAGAGCCAACTAGTGCTGGCAGCGAGGGTGCAGATCCCGTCCCTCTCCTTCACAGGGAGGGAACATGTCAAGGAAAGGCTGGCCAGCCTGGCCCCATCAGGGAACAAATCACTGCTGTCACCAAAAGGCCACAGATACTAATCTAATCAGTTGTCCTGCGCGTGGGTGTTACGTGTGTGTGTGTGTGTGTGTGTGTGTGTGTGTGTGTGTGTGTGTGTGGTGTGTGTGTACCTTCATGTGTGTGCATATGGAGTTCAGAGGCTGACATCAGGGGTCTTTCCCAATCACTCTCCACCTTATTACCCTCACTGCCTTGTCTGTCCTCTCACAGTGACTGAAGCTTATCTGGTACAGAGACGGAACCTCTGCATTTTAACAACTGATATATACAGCAGAGTGTGTGGGAAGTGCTCAATAAATATGGAGTCTATTTTTCTTTTTCTTTCTTTCTTTTTATTTTTATTTGTTTTTGTTTTTTCAAGACAGAGTTTCTCTGTGTAGCCCTGCCTGTCCTGGAATTCTCTCTGTAGACCAGGCTGGCATCGAACTCACAGAGATCCATTTGCCTCTGCCTCCCAAATGATGGAACTACAGGCATGCACCACCATGCCCGGCTCTTCTTTTCTTTTTTTTAAGATGGGGGTCTCACTGTGTAGCTTTGGCTGATCTGGAACTCAATTTGTGAACCAAGATCTTGAATTCATAGAAACCCACCTGCCTCTGCCTTCCTCATCCTGGGATCAAAGGCATGTACCACCATGCCTGGCCAATCCATTTTCTTTAAGAGCCCTTTGAGACACCCTAAGAAGGAGGAAGAAGTAAAAACTCAAGCCAGATCTATTTAATTTCCCCCCAGTAATCATGAGGATGGGATATAAGATCTCTGCTCCTAGATGGGGCTTTCTGCTGCTGGCCAAGAGGATGACAGGTGCATGACCCTCCCACGAAAACCCAGCAGGAACAGTCCCTGTGACAAGTGATGGAGCTGTCACACACCAGGTGAAGGATAATGGTCCATAGAAGGAGACAAACAGAGGCTCCATAAAGTCCACGGCTTACTCTCTGGAACTTCCAGGTCCCTGTGTTAGAAAGGGAACCTATGGTGAACGCAGAGGTCTCCCAAACTGAATAAATGACACGGGTAGCCTGTGGAAACCAGAACACATGTTAGCTGGGCAGTGGTGGCGCACGCCTTTAGTCCCAGCACTCAGGGGCAGGGCTAGATGGATCCCTGTGAGTCTGAGGCCAGCCGGGCTGGAGAGATGGCTCAGAGGTTGTTCTCATGTTCCATCTCATTACTGGCTGTTCTTCCAGAGGTCCTGAGTTCAATTCCCAGCACCCACACGGTGGCTCACAGCCATGTGCAATGAGATCTGGTGCCCTCTTCTGGCCTGCAGGGATACAAGTAAACAGAATACTCTATACATAATAAATACATCTTAAAAAAAAAAAAAAGCCATGTTTCTGTGGGGGAACCAAAGGCCAGAGCTCACAGGGTAGAAGACGAGAGGGGAGATGCACAGAAAGAGAACTCTGGAGGGGCTGGGGCGGTTGACTACATTCACCGAGAGCTTTTCAAATAATAAAAATTGGGAGAGGCCTATGATGACATTCATAGCTTCCCACGAATAGGAAAACTTGCAAGCCAGAATGCT